ACAACAACAACAACAAATAAATAAATAAGTATCGATAATGTTTGTAATGCGTTTAAATGCACGGTGTGTACCTACATTTAATTTATAATTAAATATTACAATTTGTCAATTTACAAATTCGTCGATAGAAACATTATATTGTTTCGCCCGAAAAAACAAAAAACACTTCAGGGCTGTTTTAATATTACTCGTACGTATATATATATATATATATATTATATAATTATAATATATATATATTTAAATAAATAAATATATATATGTATGCTAACGTAGCGTATAAGTTAGTTCATTAAGAATGTTTATCGATAATTTAAACGAAAAACGCCACCCTTATAAAAGTCGTTTGTTTGTGAAAAGGCGTAGTTTATTATTATTATTATTGTAATAATATTGTAAACGATATATTATATATTGTATCGTATGTTTCCTAGAAACACAATTACGCCTCAACGAAAACATTTGATGAAAAATGAATTGAAATGAAAAGTAAAGAAAGATAGAAATTTGTTTTCTTTGAAGGCCGTAATTATCCTAACTTGTACGAATTAGAACATTTATGTATAATAGATTTAGTGGATATAGTCTCTAACATATTTTTAACAATAATATTTAAGTAATTACACAAGAAAGTGATTCGAGTGAATAAGAATAAGAGAAAGAGATAAATAAGATAGAAAACGTCTTGAACCTGACGGAAAATCTCTTTATTCTCAATTCTTTAATTCAATTCGGGGGAGTTGATTGCACATAAAACAAAAACAATAATAACAACAAAACAACAATAACAACAACAACAACAACAACAACAATAATAATAATATTATACATACACGGAATTTCGCATAAACTTTTCTTCGTTAAATAAGATAACGATTAAAGGAAAATTAAGGAGAAAGATACGAACAAAAATGGAAAAATGGAAAACAAAACAATTTAAACAATAAGAACAACCAACCAACAATCAGACATTAACGAGCATTGGCGGCTGCTGCATTTATCTAACGAAAAACAATATGAAATGGGCTAAACTACTATGATATATATATATATAATATGATATATATATATATACATACATACATAGATTACATAAACAATGATTAACGATAATCACACGATCGGTCTAATCTACGAATAATAATAATAATAATATTACTATCTTTAAAAGATAGAAAGATGATAGATCATTTCCGTCGATCGAATCTCCTTTTACGAAACTATACTTATAATATATTAATATATATTTATATATTGTGTTACATATACATGATATATATATATATATATGTATGTGCATATACGTTAAAACGCGAGAGTTCACATGCGCATCGTGTTACACGACCTCACGAGCGTAGCCGCATAAGCAACGCACGTTTTACGCACACTACTACGACACCTTAAAAAAAATATAACACATACATACACGTACACGTACACACGTACATATATAAGCCTACATTAATACACGGATACTAAATATAGGACGTAAATATAACGTAAGATAGTTTTACGCAGAGAAAATAGTCGATATCTTGTATTTTTATGAGTTCATATGTTTGATGATAATAAACGAGAAATGAAAAAAAACAATAAAAAAATAAAAAAATGAAAAATATGTCAGTACAGTGCTAGGGACGAACAAGAAAAAAAAAAATTAAGAAAGATAATATGAATTGAAAAAGAAAAAAAAAAATATAAGAAAGGGAGATAGAGAGAGAGAGAGAAATAAAGCACACATATGTGGATACGAGATGAAATTTTTAAGAGATATATAAATATATTTAAACAAAATCTTAATAATAATAATAAAACAATTAAGAGGGAAAAAAGAGAGTAATGTGAAAAAATAATAAAATTGATTCGCGATGCTAGTGGTTATGTCTTCTTTGTGTATTCGCGTACACTCTTATCTGCCAGTGATTTGAAAGTTCGTCTAGGAAACAAGAAAAAATGTGACGTTACGAATAAAACAATGCGCGTACGTTGATTTCATGTGTACATATGCGATCTATAGAAAAAAGAAAAACAATTATATATATATATATACATACATACATACAAATATATAATATCATAATAGATGACATATTGTAATGAGGTTTATTATTTGCGCTATTATGAATATACATGGATTAGAAATGGGATAACGTAATCTGGCATATAACGTGTGACGACGAACGATTAGGTGAATTAGACACGGCCAGTAGAACGAAAAGTTTGGCGAACGATTATAAGAGGATAATGTTTTCTCGTTGTTGAGGAGAAGAACATTTCTTTTATTCTCTCCCTTATAATAATAATAAAAAAAAAAAAACAAAGAAATTGTTCTACACATCACTCGCGTGAAATACAGAAATAAGAACGAGAACGCGATATCGTTCGACGTCATAAAATCCATTTCGTTATTATTATTATTATTCTTATTATTACTATTATTATTATTTTTGCAATACTTTCTGTTTATCTTTTTTTCCAAATTTTATTATTTGTTATAAAAAAAAAAAAAAAAAGAAAAAAATGAAAATAATACTTTGCGGCAAAATATTTATCGACGTTGCGTTGGTACGTCATTAGATTGAAAAATTTACGCGCGCGTAGAGTTTATTATAATGATTATAAAAAAAATAACTATACTAATTGTGGATTGATTCGATCGATACGCGTTCTTCTTTTATTATCTACGACATTACCTCGACTCCGTCGTTCGAGATCAGAATCAAACATTTTTCTCTCGCGGTGAAAGAAAAGCACATATATACACATATACACACACATACACACG